GAGGGAGGGAGGGAGGAAGGGAGGGAGGGAGAGGGAGAGAGGCAGGGTACACTTTAAGGTTGAGCAATAAAGCAACTGAGATTTAGTCTAGTTTAGGGAAGTTACTCTGAAGACACGACATCCTAAAACCACATCACAGCCTCTTCCCTGTAATGCCTAGCGATGGCACCATGATCTTCACCACTTGGTTTAACATCAAAACTGAACATAAAATGTGATTGACTACAACAGATTAGCACATCATAATTTTACATTTTATTTGTGATTAGGAACAATGCACTATAATACCATTTTCACAGAACATTGTAAATTAAGTCACACCCCTTACAAAGTCATTTGGCTATTTCATGACTAAGCTCTCTTGGACTAGACTCAAGTCAGTTTTAACAGTCACCTGACTGAGAAAAGAATGGTGGCTGGAGCAGGACTTGAGAGTCAGAAGACTGCGCAAGAATTATGACCCTGTCACGAGACCTGGATATGAATCATGGTTCTGCGACCAAGACTAGACTTTGTTGCCTATTTTATAAAATGAGTGTGCTTATCTCAAAAGATTTTTAGAGAGTCTGAGTGATTAAATGTGACTTTTCTAAATAGGAAAGTACTATATAAAGCATTAGTACTCATTCATCTGATTTCTTAAAATATCATCTTTCAATCTAGCCCTAAACAATATCAATAATACATATTACTTTAGTTAACATTAACATTGATAATTTTCCCTCCATTTTGTAATCTTTACAAACCAAGGCAAAGGAATCAAAAGAAGGAAGAAAACATGTTAGAAAGATTCCATTTATAGATATTTCCGTAAACTGGGTCTTGTGTCTTACTTGCACTGGTTACCTAAAAAATAAATTTAAATCTAATAGAAGAAAATTTAGCTTCTTTATTTAATTAAAAATAATCAAACCAAAAGCTAGAAATTAGATGGTCTTTTTATCACAGAATTTCAACTTATACAAGATGACTTTCATTGTAACACCAAATAATATTTTTAAAAGGAATCTTAGCCCGGCTGGAGCGGCTCAGTTCGTTGGAGCATCATCCCACGCACCGTAAGGTTCCCAGTTTGATACCCTGTCAGGGCACATACTTGGGTTGTGGGTTCAGTCCCCAGGAGGGGTGCATACAGAGGACAACCGATAGATGTCTCTCTCTCCCTCCCTCCCTCCCTCTCTCTAAAGCATGTCCTCTGGTGAGGATTAAAAAGAAAAAAAAAATTAAAAGACATTTTATATTTATTTACATTTGCTTTGTCTTTTAACTCAATTCTTTCAACCATATCAGATAGAATTTTAAGGTGTAGAGTGCATGCTGAATACTTTCTTGTTCCATAATTATAATTATTGCTAGATCAGAATCAGCGATTTAACTGAAATAGCAATATTGAGGTCTACTGGATTATTTGTACAGTTAAAATAAGAATTACTATGTGTATTTGAAAGAGATTTTATGTAAATTTTTAATGTAACCAGATCAAATTTATTCCTTCCACCCTCTTCCCTCAAATCCTTTAGTATGACTTCTGTATGGCATATTTTGTACTGCATTTTCTTTCTTTTTTTAAATTTTTTTTTTTTTTTTTAATATATCTTTATTGATT